ACCGCCTCCTGACACTTTTGGGTGACATAGTCCATCATGTCTTGTACGGACTTAGTTCTGAGTTCTGTGTCTCATGGTGTATCCCCTAAGGAATTTATTCATCTCCTTATAGTTTCCCTTTCGGTATGCCAGCCCTTTGTTTCCCAGTTCTTTTTTGGGGGAGATAATTCCTAGCTCAACCAGGTACTCAAAGCTCAATACACTATGATCACTCATTCCCAAAGGGGCTTCCAACTTAACTTTCCTTATATCCGACTCATTTAGGGCAGATATCAGATCAAGCAAAGCTGGTTCATGCTCTCCTCTCATTCTTTTCGATCCCTTGATGTGCTGACTTAGAAAGTTTCTTGTTGCCACGTCCAGCAACTTAGCTCTCCATGTGTCTGATCCTCCATGTGAGTCTCTGTTCTCCCAATCTATCTTCCCATGCTTGAAGTCTCCCATGATTAGTAGTCTGGATCCGTTCCTGCTAGCCACAGAAGCTGCTCCCTTTATTATGTTGATGGTGGCCATGTTGTTTCTATCATATTCCTGTCTGGGTCTTCTGTCTTTTGGTGGGGGAAATATGATATATATATTATATATGACTGCAGGTATATATGACTACAACTATAATTTTCTGTCCTCCAGTTGCTATGGTGCCTGATATGTAGTCACTGAAATCTTCTCAGCTCTGATTAACCATCTTCAAAACTCCAACCTTTTCTTATCAGCAAAGCTACACCACCTCCTCCTCTCCCTTCTCTCTATTTCCTCACTACATAGTAGTCCTGTGGAAACACTGCATTTGTTATGGTTTTCTTTAGCTTTGTTTCTGTGAGTGCTATTATGTCTGGGTTTTCTTCTAGTGCACATTCTCTGAGTTCACTTGTTTTATTTGTAATCCCATCTGTGTTAGCGTAAATTGCCTTGAAGCTGACTTTTATCTGTTCATTTTCTTTTCCCCTCCTTGGTGAGCATTCTGCTGATGGGGAAAGCTGTTCCCTGGGTGTGAAGATCTGTAAGGTGGGTTGCAGGGTCTCAGAGGATTTTGGGGTGAGGGGTGGGGGTTCAAGGTCAGGGGGACAGGTAGGGTATGGGGTAAGGAGATAGGGGAGACATGGAGGATATGGGGTGAGGGGGGAGGAGGGATAGGGAAGTTATGGGATGAAGGGGGAGGAGGGACAGGGGGGAAAAAGGCAGGAGGGAAACATGGTGGGAATGGGGAGGGGGGGGTGACAGGGTCAGAATGGGGTGGGGGGGGGAG